ATTATTACTCCTAGTTTCCAAATTTACACGAGGAGTATAATGTTCCCAAGTTATCTACAACTCTGTTTGATTTTTGTGATCTGTATTCTGAGGGATGGTAGGGGACAAACAAAGGAGGGGGTAACAGTGCTCCATGGGAACTATGCTCATTACCTTACTCAGGTCACTGTAACGCCTCTGTACAGTATCTTTGCAATAAAATGTATATATTAAAAAAAAGAGAAAGTGGGAGAGCAGGAGGCAGCGTGACGATGAGAGAGGGCACCCAAGCTTCCTTCAGGCACGAAGTGAGCGGAAAGGAAGGGAAGGCCTCATCCCATACAATCAACATTCTTTGCCACAGTTGACAAATGCTAACATCAAGCTTCGACGGATGCTCCCTGCTTTAAAAATGACCACAAAATCAAAAGTAGGTTTAAAAACAAATCTCTTTTTCAGAATAGATTGTGTGAGTCCTCTGGTGATGTAAGTGAAGCCTGTAAGTAAACAAAAGAAATAGTGTCTCCGCTCGGGCTGTGTCCTCCAAGCCCAGCTTCTGGAAGCTGGAAAGCGCACGGAGGGAAGGAGAGAGCTGTGTGCTTCCCGTCTACGATTTCATGAAGCACATGGTTAAACCCTGTGAAGCCAAAAGGGTATATTCAAGAGCACTAAGGTGTAAATTTTCACTTATTTCCTGCATGGTTTTCTTCACAGTCAGAATTGAGAGCACGTTGTCCCCACTTCTGGATTCCAAAGACCTTTTTTTTTTAGAAGTAGTACTTGATTGGGAAAAATAAGTGGAAATGGTCCTTAGATTTTTTTTCTCTGGAGATTCAACTGCCCCAGAAGCACAGACACAACACTTTATAAAGTATTTTCCTCTTCAGTACACCAGCCCAGCCTTCTTCTGCCCCTGCCCTTCCTCCCTATTCTTCCCTTCTCTTTCCCTTTTTACCTACCTGTCATCTTTCAACTTGCTATCTTTTTCCCCCATAGCTCACTGCCTAAAATAGTACCTTGGTTGAGCAGATGGGTTCAGCAGTTTGTGGGGGAAATCTGGTTAGTAACAATGTGCACCCCAGGAGGTGGTCTTGTGGTGAGGTTGCTCTAAACACAACACATCCATCAAGAAGTTCCATATCTTCAAGAATTATTTGTTCCCATGTAGGTAACTCTACTGCTAGTTTGTAGGTCATGGCAGTAATCCCTCTGGTTGGAAAGGATGATGGAGTTTTCCAGGATCTTTGCCATGAGCTTGTACCATGAAGTCTCTGGTGAAGGTGGAAGCCAGTCCTCGGGTTCCAGGTTGGTTTTGTAGGAAGAGGCAGGATTCCTGGCAAAGTTGACAAAAGCCTCATGGAACAGTCACCCCATCCTCTGAGATACAGAGTGTGGCAGAGCTGGCTCTTAGGAATGGGAAGCTGGAAGAGGGCTTCATTCTTCTGTCACATTGAGTTGGAGCTGACAAGAGGAGAGTGTCAGTTTTCACTGCAGTTTAGAACAGGTCCAGGCTAGAGAGGTGCTCTCAGGAACCATGGACCTGACCGACATGTTTAAACCACAAGATGGAATGAGCCTAGTGAGAAAGGTCATCTAGCTCCAAAGACCAGAGTTGCAGGGGCTGGGTCCTGGAGCTCACAGATCAGGGAAGATGGGGGAGACAAACAAGAGCAGCCACAGGAACTGAAACAAGAGTGTATGCATTCTTGTTTTCGTTGTAATTTGGCTAGCAGAGAACATGAATGTGCATTTCACTGCACTATGTGCTGCCTTTCTTTATGTCTCCAAATATAGTTCCCTGAGTTACACCAAATGTACATATGTGAGTAGATTTATCTTCTAATTGAAATGATTTTAAATATAGAGAGTGTTGTAAAATATATAGACTAAGTTAAAGTATAAATGTATATTAGTTCATGTTTAATTAATAGAAAAATTAATATGAAACTAATTTCGATTTTTGTTTTTCATAATTCACTAGATCTTTTATATATCTTATCCAAGCAAATATTTTCTCTTCTTGTTTTAATCTGACTGATAGCTGATTCCATTTAAGAATCGGACAACTTAAAATAGTTTAGTAATATTCTATTTATCTAGATAATTAAATTATAGTGATAACTTTCCATTGAAGAAACTCTAAATATTGAAGTATATCATGTTTTAAACTTAAGGCACTGAATAGGTGGATGAAATTTATGTACACTTATAATTATTTTGTGGGTGGCAGTATTTTCTCCTATATCATGCTATTTCATTGTGGATACCAACACTGCTTTATCACGGAAAGTGAATCTTTTCTAGTATAAGATGTTCATTGTTAAAGAAATCATGAAAGAATCAGTGCTTTCTGCCTAAGTGCTCCAGAAGAGAATGACTGAGCCACAGAGGCAAAAGTTAGGGTTATGTCACATGCAGTTGATGGAAGAGCGACTGAGGTGAGGAAAGGAATAGGAAGGAAAAGATAAAAAGATGTTGGGAAACATTAAAAGAGGAGACCACGGTAATGAGAAGGAAGCGAAAGCCACTTAGGCAAAATATGGAGATGGGCTACTGTAAGAATAGCTTTGTAAGAGATGCTGAGAAAATTAAAGTCATTTATGGGTAGACTTTTGATCAGAGTCACTGTGAAGCATGACTGGATTTATCCAGGGTGTCTGAGTCAAACTATGGTGGTGAGTATCACTGAAGATGCTCAATAATCCACTTGTACCAAAAACTCTTGAGGATTTACTGTAAATGTAATAACCCTAGGAGGCAGAATTACTTGGCTTGGTCAAAAAAAATAAACATTGAGAAAACTAAATGCTCAAGACCTCCTAAGTGGGCTTTCTGCCTACTAAATGTTCAGCACCACCGATCTAGATGTAAGGAAGATAACACATGAGAAAGAAATCTTGGGTATGCATGTGTTAGGATCAAGTGGAAAAGAGATTCTAGGATGCTATGTACTGTCTGCAGAGCCAGGAATATTCAGTGAAGATAATGGGAGAAGATAATACTCATGAATAAAGAGTGAACTGTCAAGAATGGTTTAGGTAAAGAAGGAGCACAACTGAGACAGGTGTCAAAAAGAATGAGTGGGAATATGTCTAAGCGATGTCCTCAGAAAGTCCTGTGAGCACAAATACAGGAACACGTGGCCTTGAGGGAGGTTCCCAGGCCTGAGTCATGACAACAGGAACCTTCTTAGTAAGGCCACACCAGCAAGTTAACTCCAGTGGCAGAAGAGCTGGGCACAGGTGACGGTCACAGTGCAGCTCCTATACATTGCTTTCAGTGTTGGGCCTGCAGCCCATCCTGCTTTCTGCTGTCGATTAAGGAATCAAAACATCATCTCCCTTTCCTGGTGCTACATCAGTATTTTTAGATAATCTATTCTTTTTCTATAAGCCTAACCCCAAGTAGTTTGGGATTGAACTCTCAGGGAAACCTAAGTACCAAGGAAATGTCTAATTCTGTAGCCTTTGATCTCAGGCACATGATGTATGTTCTAGAAATAGAGATGCTATCAATGAGAATTGTCATTTCCTTTCTCCTCAATTGTTATTTGTCATCTGCCTTAATATGCATGAAAGTGTATAGTAAATATTTTAGGATATATTTTAACTTCTGATGTTCTGAAGTTTACACGTAAGACATGAGAACAAATCTTAATGTCTATCACAGATTTGCAGTGTACTCCTGAGCCTTCCTAAACCTGTAATACTCATTGATATCTTGTACTATTGGTGGAGTAGGTAAAACTTCCAGGAACATTTATTTTAATTATGTTGCAAATTTTTTGACTGACATAGGAGAAATATTTATTACATATTTGTGAAAGAATATCATCTCTGTAAAGATTCTCCGAATCTCTGAAAAACCTGAGTAGAAAGAATACTTATTAGATATTCACATTCCCAATTCATTTCTCTTATTTTCAAAATGAGAAATGTAATTGTGAGAATTATCAGCGGGTAAGTGTAGGGGGCATATTTCATGACTATACAAAATAGGCTGCAATGTATTGTGAAAAAAATGCTTTGACAGTTGGATAGTTAGAGAGCTAAGCATCAGCCTTGTGATTGAACCAACCATGCCGTCCTCTTCCTTCGTTCTTGCTAGTGTTTGCCCTCTCCTTTTTCTACTGCAGTACATGCTTTTTCTTCCATAATGCATCTGGTTAAAGATTGCCATGTTTCAGACCATCTTATGTCTTCATAGTTTGAGGATTGTTCTTAGAGATTATGAAAATCAATGACTTTCTTATTAGTAATGAAATGTTTAGTTTTTTTTAGCAAGTTGGATGGAAGCCATAAAGTCTATAATAAATAGTCTATGTTTTAACTTCTGACAAAAGGAACACAAAAAGGTGGTGATAAAATAACAGAACAGAATTCCTATGCTTTAAATGTTGTTTCTCTACCTAGTAAAGTTATCTGTGGCCACCTGATATCAATTCATTTTCCCTCTTTCTGAGCTGTTAATATTTATACCCTTACTGCCCTGGTCCAGTATCATGTGGATGCACATTTTTTTCAACATCTGCTCTGTATCCTGCACTGTTTTAGGGACTTCATATAAATACTTCTAACTTTACTCCCCTAAGAGAATTTTTCATAATGACTCCCATTTGCATGGTAAGAAAGCTGAAGGTAACTCAAGGTCATCCAATTTGTAAGTGGTGGTAAGCCAGGATTTATATGTAGATTGGCTTGAATCTAAAGAGTCACATGATTCCCCCTCTATTATTTGGCCTGGAGTTGCTTAGGAATTATTAGTAATTTTTGAATATTAATACTTAAACCATCATAGAGAATCTTCTCTGTGATTGAGCAAGAACTGGATTGGTATTCCTTAGCCTTACTTAAAAACTTAAGAAGTGTTTGTGCATAAACAAGCTCTCCCACAGCATCTCTTATCTATTGAATGGGAACTAATGACATTTGGAGATCTGTTTATCATGGTCCCTCTGCTATTAAGGGCTGCAAATTCTTTCTGATTTTTTGTGTAACTTGCCGTTATCTTTGTTGTTGCAGTACTGGATACCAATTTATTTACTATTCACCTGAAAACACAGCAAAAGCAAAGGAAGTTCTCAGCAACATCAATCAACTACAACCTCTGATAGCAACCCAGGCAGACCTACTGCTTCATTCCGCAAGCCAGCATTCTCCAGACAGCTTGAAGAATTCTTTAAAGTTGCTTGCAGAAAAAGTAAGATCCAAATCATCACCACCGTGGGGAAAATGAAATTCTCCAATCCCCACTGGTGTTGCTTTCTGCATACATTGCCTTTCGTAGCTTCTGCAAATGTTAGGAGTCAAGGTTAAAAGTAAGCTTCAAAGTATTGCCACAGGATCAAAATGAATTGGCTTTATTCTTTTGCAAATCTTACTAAGCATTTTTTTCTAGGAGGAAATGAAACCTGTTATTGGCTAGAGTATATTTTCTCTTTACCTTGATATCTTTCATTTACATGGCTTTACACATTAAATTCAATGTTTGCAAATTATTTTCTTCTGATGATCACCTATTTTCATCCACATAATTTCCAATATAAATAAGAATGTCACTTCATTTAAAGTCAGAAATTGGTTGTGGATTCAGATGAATGCCATAGGCCGGGGTAGGGGGGAGAGGTGTAGTCATTCTTCTATCCTAATTCAGTTTATAGAAGATTCTAGAAATTTCCAAATATTACTTATTATTTGAAATGTTATAGAACTTAGTGCCTAATTTTTACCAAAGGTGAGTTGCTCCTTTAACTGCACTCTGACCTGCATGGAGCAGGTACTAAATATCAATGTCCATAGCTAAATAGGGCAGCTGTGTGAATGAGAGACAACCAAGACAAAAAAAAAGATGGCTTGATTTTTTTAAACATGAAGCCAACCAGGCATGCTGGCGTGAAATACCGGTGTACTCACCTTTAACTTCTGACTTCTTCTGCTTTAATATGAGACACTTCCAATAAATAGGTCCTTGAAGAAACTGACCTATAAACATCTCCAGTAATTCTAGAACTAGTCAATAGTTCTTCATCTCTCAGAACCACAGATGAATAGAAACCAGAATAGATGCTTGCATCCATCCATCTCATTCTGATATGATCATTGGTATTCACAATACCTTGTCCTTATTTAACATTTTAAATTGCCCATTTTCATATATTTTCCTCACAGGGAAACACTAGTATCTTCTCTCCTTCTAAGTTAGCTATTATCTATTAAGAAAATCGATATATAATTGTATTAGACCAGTCTATTATAAAAAGAGAAGAGGATGACAGTCCAGGTCTGGCCATTTGAAGTGCAGCGTCTTTCTAAGCGAGAACAGATGCCTTCATCGCAAGAAAAGACGACCAGTCTCACAGGTTTCCGCGGCATTACTCAGTCATGGGCTGTTGTGTGCTGTTTATTGAGTCATTACAGTTGATGGGAACATCTTTTCTTCATTTCACAAAGCTCTGAGGAATTAAAGAATGCACAGAATCAGGCAGCTGGAATCACCCCCCAGGAACCAAACAAAAGCAGCTCTGGACCCTTTATAGAAGGGTGTTTTGACACTGCCCTTTTTGCAATTGTAAAATTCTTTTTTGTTGGACAAACTTCCTGGCATTATGCAAGTATTGTAATAGTCAACAAATACATGTTTACCACTAAGGGAAAGAAGCGGAAAGAGTAAGCTAGAAGATTGTGTACCCAGTGGAGTGCTATACAATTTCATTTTGGAGCATTTCTCTTGTGGTATTTTTTAGATGAGGTGAGATATTTTTTTTTCTTCTGCGTTCATCTAAGCAGAAAATTTTAGCAAATAGCACATCACGGCAGTGATTACAGAGCAGTCTTTATATTCTCCCTGTGCAGTGGGCAAGGATTCATCATTTCATGCATCGTTTGCAGCACGTGGCCATGGTGGTGGAGATGTGTGTGGCGGGGATAGGAGGGTTCCTTCTCCTTTAGTCCAGCATTGGTCTAGCTTTTTGCCCTTTGTGTTCTACACAGTTGACAAGCATTGTCTGCTAATAAAACTCTCAACCCAGGAAACTAAGAGGATCATTTTAAAGTTAAGTTTGTAAGTCATGCATTCTTTCTTTTTTTTTTTTTTTTTGGTGGTCATGGGGCTTGAACTCTGGGCCTGGGCGCTGTCCCTCAGCTCTTCCGCTCAAGGCTAGAGCTCTACCATTTGAGCCACAGTGCCGTTTCTGGTGTTTTTTTATTTGTTTGTTTGTTTGTTTGGGGGGATAAGAGTCTCATAGACTTTCCTTCCCCAGGCTGGCTTTGAACTGCAATCCTCAGATCTCAGCCTCCTGAGTAGCTAGGATTACAGGCATGAGCCAATATTGCCCAGCTAAATCATGCATTCTTTTAAGTATCTATGCCTGCAATTTCAGAGAATCAGCCAAGTTAACAGTTTTGCCATCTCTGAAGACTGCTAAGGAACTCATGATTTAGAAATAAAAGTATGAATTGAGCAAGAAATAAATGTAGTTAAGTGATGTAACAAGTTGTAACCTAAGTTGGTATTAACAGGATTATAATTCTGAAAGTTTTTTTTTTAATTTCAGAGTTTCATTCTGAAAAAAATCATTCTTTGTTGGTAAACCCTGTTTTAAAAAATTATATTTTAAAATGCATATTTAAGGTGCCATCGGGCCCCATATGAATAAGATAAAGGTTACCAAGCTGTGACACCTTCCTTTGTTGTTGGTGTAACAAGAACAGCTAAGCTCTGTTCTTTGGCATGATACCAACATATAGCTATCTTCTCCATTTTACATTGTGACCTCCAGGATGCTTCATCCTATATTTTGACTTCTTCGAATCCTCTGATTTACATTTCCTGGTTCATTAATCCATGAACTGGTGTGTTTAAGAATTAGTTTCTTCATGTTGATTTTCCAGTACCTCATCCATACAACTTTCAAGAAAGAATAAGCATGGTCTCTCTGTGTCGTTTTCAGAAGAGATGGGAGGTTTTGCAGCCCGTGAGCTCCCGTCCTTGGGCGAGCTCATTCTGGGGACAGGGAAGGTGGAAGGCAGTGCAGGGGCCATGTGGAAGGAAGTAATTGAGTGTTTTGTGAGGAGATTGCCCTCTGCCTGTACGGGCACCAGGCCACTTGGCGATGCTGGCAATGGACTCCTTGGCAAGTGGACCTACACTGCACGTCTGTGGAAAAACATGGAGCACGAAGGAACCCAGCTTGCTAACAGCACACTTAAGGAGTCTCAGAGTCGATGATGATGTGTAGATCCAAAAGCAATTCATGTCATCTCTGCCGCTACAGCGCACCAGATGGTAGGTCTCAGGTTACCCAGCCAAGTTCTTCCCTTCTACTGGAATTCCATTCCATTGGTAATAAAAGCTAAACACATCAACTTAGTAAAAGTAAAAATAAAATAATTTCCTGATGATGTACTATCTTCTAGTCCCTGTCTCTAAGAACAGAATAAGACTAGGCTTTTCCTTCACAAGACATTCAAGGTCCTTGGTAACATTGTAATAGCAATAACGATATCAATAGTAGATAGCATTTGCTTACAGCTTAGTGATGGTGAGCTGTCCCCACAAGATCCTTTTTTAACAGAGAATATCTCTTATTTAAATGTTTTTACAGTGATTTACTTCATGAGTAATAAAACTGAGTGAGTCAGATTAACAAATCGAAAATGATAATGTACCCTTAGATACTATAAGAGCATGATAATATACCCCCAATCCTATAAGAACTTCAACTTCTGTAGTTCCATGAAGTACATTCTATTGTTTTCAGCATTTACACTTCTAATCTTATGAATGATTGCAAGTTCCTTCTTTTTACACAGTTGAGGAAACTGAGACATGAATATATTAAATAATGTGCTTGCAGTCAAAAAAAGTTGTGTTTCTGGTTTGTTTGTTGCTTAAAATTAATCACTATGCTTGCTGTCTTTTGAATATTCTATGAAAGTTCTGATAGACAGTTCCATGTGGGACTGACAAGCTTGTGTGATAGTGGAGGAAGTAGAAATTTCACAGTAATAAATGAATTCTATCATTTTTCTTATCCTAAGTATACAAATTCAGCTAAATTGTACTATTATTTTATTACTTCTGATATTTGAGTTTGATTATACCATATTAGTTTGTGAATGTGTTAAACAATTAACTTTTATAAGAAATAATTTGATCAAAGCAAGCTCTGAGTTTCTCTGAATAATTCCAACAGTGAAGACCAAAGATATGCCAGAATTTTAACATGTGATATGAATAGCTGAAATTAGATGGAGAATGCACTTTTTTTCTTACTCTAAAAGCATCATACATGTCTCTGTATATTGCATGAAATCTATGCAAGGAAAATGGAATGTAAAAAAATGAATAAGAAAAATAAGGACCTAGATGCATGTAGTATGTGGACATTTCTCTTAGTTCAGAAGGTAGATGATTAGTTATATTATGCTCATCATTTTCTGGATTTCACAGAGCATGATTGAACCTCATTTAGAAAGTCATTGTTACTTTGCTCAAAAACATAATTGAATGAACACTGAATTGTGAGTAATGCTGTATTTGATTCTAGAATAGAAATTCTATGCAGACGTGGACTTTCACATGAACAACCACGGGGGTGTTTCACAATATTATCATCATCAAATGTTCAACAATGCAACTATTGGAGGCTAGCTATACACTCCATATGCCCATATACCATGGGTTCTGTCATGCTCAAAGAAAAGGTTAAAAAGAGTTTTATTCTGAAACAGAATTTGATTTTTCTAAAGAAGATCATGCTTATTTGTCATAGCAATGCCATGAAAGCAGTTCTAAAAAGTTGGCGCCACATGTAATGTCATAGAGAATATCGATGAGTGACAGATAAGGAATTTGTTATTGTTTATTTACTGCAGCAACCCTAGGTCAGTCCCAGCCCCAAACTGAAAGGAAGAAGGTACTATAATGAGTAGAAGGGTTTCTTTGGTTGTTGTTTGTCATTGGTTAAAGTATATATGAGGGGTCTTAGTGAACTTTGGAATAACCAGTTGAGGTGAAGGTAAACTTTTAAGACTAGAATTTACCTTTCAACTTTTTACAATCACCTTCAAATTAAAAAAATCAATGAATGAATATACAGTTATCCAAATGTGTGTTTCTTGGATAATTGGATAATAGGGTAAGTAAAGATAAGGAGGAGGGCAATGTTTGAACAAGGGCTGTACAGGAAATGTGCGGATCAGATGTCTCCATCCAAGCTAACATCAGTGAGTCCTCTTCCTCAAGCGAGGAGAAACTTGGACAAAATGGGTCCAGCATTGGAAAATGGGCAGCACAGGAAGGAAAGGGACCTTATGATCCTTGTATTTCGTTCACATCCCAACGTGGTTTTCAGGATATAGTCTACAAAACAACGAACAACAAACCACAAGACCACTTCCAAAGGCTTTCAGTGAAAAAGATTTGCTACATCTGGTTCCAGGAGAGTTAGAAATGGAATTTTGGAGACTTAAGCATAAGGATGAAAATTGAAACGATGAGGAGATGGATTCCATCACCATGAAGGAACAGTGCTATTAAGAAAGTCATGTAAGACTCTTGGGATACGCTCACTGCATGTGGGGTGAGCTGAGGATGATAGGTCAAGAAGGAAAGGAAAAGCGTTCAGGAGACTCATAGAGCTTAATGGAAGAGTATACTTTACGGTGAATTTCAGTAAGACTTTTACAGGAAGGCACTATAATTTTGTATAAAATTGGCGAAATGATTACATGATGTATGTATATAAATTCAAGTTTATACTTGTACATGTATATGGGCATAACCATAGTTATACCATAGAATATAGTATGTATATTTAATAGTTGCCCAGATATCAAGTAACTTCCTGCCTGCTAGATAGTCTTACCTTTAGGGAAAGTGAAAACTCATCAGTGTAAAATGACAGAATTGTGCTATTTCTCTATGAAATAACTAAAGCCTATCAAATTCATTGAAATAAACAGAATTCTTTCCTGCTAAAATAACAATCCCTTCCTTAGGTCCCTGGCTGCATTCGTATTCCAGGTAGAATTTGGTGAGAATTGTCTTGAATTCTTTTTCAGTGAGATGAACTTCTATTAGGTCTTTGCTGAGATCTCTTGTAAAAAAGGAGTGATCTTAAATAAACATCCTAGCTACTCTTTTACCATCAGTATTGAAGAAATGAGGAAATGCTCTTCACCCATTTCCCAGAGAAGTAATTTTTAGTAGTTTAAGTTTGCAGACAATTCAGTGTTTCCCTTTAAAGAATAGTTACCTGGGAATATGAGTTTTAGAAAAAAGTAAGAATAAAATCATTTCATTTTTAAGATGGAATCTGTCTTCTCTTTTTATTACCAAGCAAGTGAACATAGATCTTCCTTAGGTTGAGCATTTTATTGTACTAAGTTGAACTTTTACATGATAAATTAAAATTTTAACGTATTAGGTTAGTACTTCAAATGAGTTGTTTTGCCTACTCTTATTATAACATTTTAAGCAGCCTATCTTCTTTCACTGGTCTGGTACAAGCTGGACCAGAAAAAGCCAAAGTCTTCAGAATAGTTCATAGAAACTTAGAAACGCAGTCATTTCCTTCCATCGAGTTTAACTTTCTTAGTCATTCAGTGGTAAGGACTGCAATGTTCAAGGTATGCAGGGATTGTTCCATTTCGACTGTATAGGACCCAGAATTTATATTGGTCTACATTTACTCAGTAGTGCTAGCCCAGAAAACTCAGGTTTTGTTCAGGCCATACAGATATTATGATATTTAGAATATTTAGGCATTTTTTAAGGCAGGATCCTGGTACCCAGAACGTTTCCAAGGAACCAGATAAATTTGTCAGTATTGACACACACAGAGTAAAGATTAGCCTTTATAGCATTTGTTTAAGATTTTACTGCCTTGTGTTTAGCTATCCAAAGAAAATTCTGGGTTGTAAGAATGCAAAATGTGCTGCATTATCCTCCTTGCCTGTAGTGGTAAATCAACTTAACTGGGATTTGAATAAATGAAGTAGGATTTCTCTGTGTGCATCTGATGCAAAGTGAATGATGAGAAGAGCGGGAAGGGATTCCATGGGTGTGCTTGCACATTGGCCCCATCGTAATTATGTAAGGATGGGGAAAATGGAGCTGTGCTAGCAGGCATTCAGAGAAGGCAAGCTGTTTTGTTCTAAAAATACATCAAAACAGATTATTGAAACTATCAACAGAGACATAGTTTTGTTAAGCTGAATGGGAATACATTTGCATTTTTGATTCCCATCGATAGCTGTATCCATGTGGCATAAAAATGATGTAAATAACATGTTTCTGCATCTTCCTCTAACTCCATTGACTGGTTGAATTCTATTGAGCCAATTTTGCTATCCTTATTTATTTTGTACCTTCTATTCCCATTTGAAGATAATTTCATTGTCCGACTCTTTTTGTGTCTTTCCAGTATAAGCTGAATTTTCATTTGGCTTTCTTAATTTATTCCAAAGTACCATTCAGTCTCTTATATATGCAGTTTTCTAAGTTGTTTCTTTGTCTTCAAGGTGGCTTCAATATGACTAACCTTACAGAGCCTTAAGTTAGAAGTAAAGAGAGTTATGCGGGTAGGACATGTTTAACCACTCAATCTGATCAATGACCAGGGAGGAAGGACATGCAGATTACTGTCAGGAAGTGGGGGGTGTAGAGTAAGAGCGAACACTACTGAGCATGTCAGACACCTTGTGATTGCTTCCATTTATGCTCGTCATCAGCTGTTTGTGCTAAAACACATCACCACATTCTTAATTTTTATATCTGATTAATGGTGATTTCAACTTCAAGGTCTCTTCCAGCTCCAGAATTGTATGATCTGTGGCAAAGAAATAATTGCACAGATAAGACAAAAACCTTCTCAGACACTTATTTTGTAGGGTTGGTTGAATTTCCTTCATTGCCGACATTTGCAAGAATGTATGTGGCAGTGTAGCAGTGGAGTGGACAAGGCCCTGTTGGTGGCATATGGAGAGAATATCAAAATGATCACCTTGAGTTATAACATGAGTTGAGTTGGTTTTATATCCTAGAATACTATATCAAAGGAAGATAACACCAAGTATTGTCCAAAATAACACTGTGTGTTAAAGGGCTCTTTCTACCAGAGTATGCAGTGTGAGGGGTCAATGCTTGACTCCAGACTTCAGACAGATTGTCCAGCCACATGCATGCTAAGTGTATTACTATAATACAGAAAATCAATTTCTTCACCTTGCAGGCTATTACAGGCTGGCGCTCTTAAACATTTCATCAAGAAAATGCAAAGTGCAGCTGTCAAGTTCTTTGTTGTGGGAAAGCTGTCGTTATGATAGTACTTACTAGGTATTTACCACTAGCTTATAAAATCCGCCACGCCAGAGACTGCAGTGACCTCGTTACCACCGCATACTAGAATGTAATTTGGTGGGGGAGAGAATTTGGGGATGATATGAATAAGAGGCAGGCAGGTGTTGTCTTAGAGATGACTCCTTTACCATGTCTCCTGTGCCGCTGTCTATGGTCCAGAGGGAAGTTCTGTGTTTTATTATTTTCTTCATAGCCTTTAACTGTTTTAAATACAAAATATGCAAAATCCAGCCACGTTTTCTTTTGAGGTATGTTTGGAATCACTTGGATGGTGCCACAGGTAAATGTCATTCCAGTGATGCTCCCCAGTGAAATGCATCTTCAAAGACAGGCTTTGGAGAATAGGCTGAGGAGACAGATGGTGATTATAGTGCATTTAGATCCTCGGCATTAACTTTAAAACAGGAGGTCTCCAGGCCTTGGCAGCTTCCCAGAACCAAACCATCTCCTGTTGAGTGGTATGAATCATTTTTCTCTCTTTGGTGCCAGGGCATTTCCACCATACACACCACTTAAGTGGTCAATCTGCAATTGACCTTTTTGCCGCCCTCCACCGCACTGCTTACCGTGCCATTTCTAATCCATGCCCATTCCTTTCCAGACAGAACTTTTCGTGCATGCCTTTAAGGATCAGCTGGTCAGAAGCGCTCTTTTGGCTCTCTACACCGCAAGGCCAGGGGGCACCTTTAACAAAACCCCGTCTCCCAAGAGTGGCAAAGAGGAGAGGCATGCCCAGGGCCAGTCCCCGCCCTTCAAGAGGCAGGACTCCATTCCGCACCACTCAGACTACGATGAGGAGGAGTGGGTAAGTCTTCCACACCTCGCCTCACTCACCTGGAACCGTTTTGCCCTGAGAAATACAACAAGCATGATAAGAAAGCTGTGTCTTCCATATAAGAAAAAAAATTACTGGAAAGCAGTCATCCTATAAATCGTGGGAAAACAGCTCACACTTTTCCTTAGGGGCATATTAGATTTGAAACTTGCATTCCTGATCAAACATATTTTCTAAAAAAAAAAAAATACATTTGCTAGCAAAGAAATCATATAGACAGCCCTCAAAGCAAAGATGTCCCAGAGACAGGATCCCACAATGCATTTCCTTATGGTTGACTGAGCTTCACACAAGGATGAAAATTGTCTTTCAGAAGAATCAAAAAACTCTCCCTGTCTCTACCACGTGTGTGCAACGAAGTGTGTTCATCGCTGAGATGTAGTGAGCTCCTTCCAGAGTGCTTCCAAATGTTTACCTTTAAATCACACATCAAGGGCTCTGGAATCCGCTCTTGCCCATGATCGTGCGATTCTGTCCATGTGGTTAGAGGGGCTTTGAGTCTCTGTGGCCTGTATGGACATCTGAAAAAGTAGCAAACTGGGGACCCATAGGCAGGGGCCATCCGTGAGCAGGAACTTCTCCATGAGGGGATGGGCAGAAGCGGGGAGGGAGGAAGCTGGGGGCGGGGGGAAGAAGCCAGAGGGGATGCTGAGTGGATAGAAGGCTGTTCAGGATGAAACAGGATAATGAAACTCACCAACTGTTAAAAAAAAATTTTAAATAAGTGGTGACACCAGAGAAGAAACAGGAAATATGGCAGACCAGTGAATTTGCTCAACGAGCACTGTGAAACCTCTGCATGCTATAAATGTATGATCATTCCAATATAAGATCATTAAGAAAGAAAGTTCAATTGCAGAAGATGGAAAAATGGACAGACAAAAACATTGCAAAAAGGCATGGTAGCAGCCAGAATAGGGTGAAAAGAACCTGAAAAGAGAAGGAAGGTAGTAATGTTAATGTACTGTTATTACTGAGCGAGTTAATACCATCGCACATTACTTATGCTAAAACCCTCCAAAGTAAATGCACTTTCTCTCTCTCTCTCTCTTTCACACACACACACACACACACACACACACACATTCATGCCACAGGGAAACACTATATTCTGTTCTAGAGTAACAACAAAATAAAGGCATAGTAGCTGTTTTTAGTTAACAGTTACTTTTCTTGCCAGCCTAGAATTCTAGCATGTTTGGGATTAAGTTATTTGAGAGGTCCAGATCTCTCAAACAAAATTATGATCTCAAGACCTAGGCAGTGATGCTTGCCCTTTCTTTAGGTAAATTCTGCTGGAGGTAAATGCTGAGTAAGTCTTTGTTGTGACTGATTAAAATTGCCTTTCTCCCACAGCAGCACTTTCAAAAGAGCAAATCTAATATTTCTCCCTTTTACCTTTACCTTCTTCAATTTAGTCACAGCTCCAAGGCGTGCATACCTTTTAACCTCCCTGAAGTTCAGTTTTCTCAACTGAAAAACAAAAATAGCATCTGTTCTTCCTTAGCTCTTAGGACACTTGTGATATAAGTGATTTATTCACTTGGTGAAGCTCTTGGCTGGATGAGCTGTAGCAAATGGTTGTATTACTTCATGTGATTGCTGTGTGTTTTGCTTTAAAAATGGAAATTATATCATCTTCTGATGAAGATCAAATCTATTCCTTGGTCCCTTTCTAGTGGGGAAACTATATATCGTGGAATGTGAATTGTGAGTTTTAAGGAGTTTGAGTAGATGTGGAAAGGAAGTTTTATTTTATTTTATTAAACATGCAGTATTATTTCGATGTATAATTGCCAGTTTATAGGAAACCAAGTGATTCCTTTGAAATTGGATGTATTTTATTTCTTCTCACTGTGTTATGCAGTTCTGTGTTCATCTTTACCTCTTCCTCCTGTTCAGTTTCTACTCCTTTCCTCACCCTTCCTTCCTTCCCTCCCTCCTGCTTTCCTTTTCCTCCCTCCCTTCCTTTCCTTCTTTTTTTCCCTCCCTCTTCTTCCATCTTCCTCCCAGTTTCTCACCCTCCTTCCCTTCCTTCCTTCCTTCCTTCCTTTTCTCCTTCCTTCTTCCCTCCCTCCTTTCCTCCTTTCCCACCTTCCATCTTTCCTTCTCTCCTCTGCTTCCTTCCCTCCTCCCCTCCTTCAAGGCTTTATTCAACTCTAACAGAGTAAATCTAAAGAAAATGTAGCTAATTGAAAATGGTTTAGAGACTGTGCTATTAAATGAATTGGAAGCATAACTTTGTATAGCCCCTTTCTTAATTAGTTGTTAGAAAGTTTCAACCCTGATTACAAATGCAGTCAACTTCTGGAAGTAATTCAGTGTTTTAAATTAATGTAATTGGGTTTCAGTGATATATGAAAATATTCCTCGATCACTTAAATTAGCTTAAGTTTGCACTAAGATTACAGTAGCACCATTAAAAAAATTCTGTTTGTTTTACTTAATTTCCAGCAGTGGCAATAACCATTACCTAACCTGAATAACTGTCTTCAGCTCTTACAATAAAGATTTGGAACATGAAATCATCTTGGTAAATTACTCTAAAGTTCTATTCTGTCAATGCACCAACAACATTTCTTTTGTGGTCAGGGCAGAGAATTGCTATGAACTTGAAATTGCTGTGAGGCTATTTGATTTTCAACTTGTTTTGTTGACCCAGTTGAAGAGCAATAATTATCAAGTCAATATGCTAGAGATTGAATCTAAAATGAGTACTACCCCCCTCCAAGATTTTATTTGCTAAATTTTACTTATTCAATGAGGAAATGATTTAAAAGTTTATTTTCCTAAAAGTTAGTAAACAATCAAAGCTCAAAGGAATACTTGGGATTTTATGACAATGTGTGCCAGAAAATAGACAAGCTTATCAGCCAGTAAAAGTTGACATATTGCTTTTCTTTCTCTGCGTCTCTACAGCAGATGCTTCTAGCAGCTGGGACTCTAAGATTAGTTTGCCCAGAATATGAAAGTGTGTCATCCAACCAAACTATTAGGCTGACCCAGATTTTGTGCCTTCCAGTAATTATTCCATTCTCTACAACCCTGTGATTTCATTTCAGCCTTGCTACAGATTGGTTTGAGGCTAAATCTGCCTATCTCTATTCACATAAATTGTTAAAAAAGATAAACTCTCGATCCTTTCTGGCAAGGTGCATACCAGGAAAATTATTAATTGGCCATCTTTCAAATCTGTTTTTAATTGAATGGATATATTTTTTATATTACAGATCATTTCAGTATCAAAATTACCCAATTAATTCCCCTCTCCCCCCTTTTTATGTTACATACATAAACCAGATTTAAATTTTCAGTCTCGGAACAAGTTCTGCTATATGGTCACAAACTAGAGTAACCATAGAAAACAGTGATGACTGCAGATGTCAAATAGCTTGAAGAAAGAACTTTGCAAGTTTCCACCATGAAGACAATTGTTCATGTTTGAAAAGATAATCTGATTAACCCGATTGAAACAATATGCAGTAAATACATATTTCAGATTATGGATGATACTCCATTCATATGTGCAATGTTTGCATTTTATGTGTCACTTAAACCAGAATTTAAAATTAGTTCTTACTTTAAATAGATAGTAAAATTTAGTCTCCATTCTTTAGCCAGGAGAACATTGATTATTATTGTAAACATGTTTATGTCACCTAAGGAAAGTAGATGATCCATAACAATTTGTAACAATTTTCCATAATTTTTGTGAATTCTCATAGTAATATTTATGTTAAGCATTTTGTTATTGAAAGACTTAAATAACCCGGAACCTGTGGCTCTTCTATAACTCATTGTGACCAAAGATACAGTGTTTTGTAATAAGCGTTAGATAAGCCATTTTCTGATGGATTTCTTACCTGTATCATATAGTTTATTTTTATGCAGTACCTAATGATGTGAAGGGCAAATACAAATGCGTAAAATGCGTAAGCTCAACAGAGCTATTTATATTCCTGTAATTGGTAGCAGTGAGGATTGCCACACATTGTGAACATAGATTAGGCATGAAACACAGATAACCAGGGACCTCCACAGTTAAGCAGCATCAGCATTCTGAATTTCTCTAGAGAAAGAGAGGTTCAGGCTCCACTCAGAGTGAGGAGCTGCCCAAGCAGACTGATACTCAAAGGAGAATTTTGTCCATTTCTCTGACTGGCTCGGGTTACGTTGTATGAACCGTTGACCTGAGTTTAGTTTACAAAGGAGATACATCTTTCTTTTCCTTATTAATTCTTAATGACTATCTGATAGAACCTGTAGTTAAACTTTGTCAAGGCTGCCTCTTAATAACTTGTTACCCAAAAGAGTATTGTGTCCACTAGAATGTAACCATTTACTTATAACTTTTGTGATACATACTCAACTCTGACTCATTTTGTGTAACAAAGCAACTTCTTTGCATTTCCTGCATGCACAGCCTAGTGAGTACTGAATTCTAATAAGTTGTTTATATGTCTCTTTATTCTGTGCGTTAGGGAACTTTGCAAGTTTCTGAAGGAAAATGCAGTATATGGTTCTGCTCCCCTACAGCAGAACACCTGTCCCGCAGAGTTGCTCCCTACACACGTTTATAGAATAACCAATGGGCTTTAACACTTGGCTTTGAATTTTTTATTCCTCTTTTGAAAAGCAGATGCTTTTAATTCCTTAGCATTCTCCACTATGTCCAGTATCTTTTTTCTTCACTCGAATTCATGTGAATTCTTTTCACAGTTTGTTTCTTCCTTCTCTTGAAGCCCCGCCCTTCCCCCCAAGCCTCCTTCCCTGTGTCTTCTTCCCAGTTTCTCAGTCCACTCCAACATGATTATCCTGGTCACTGATCAGTCACACTCTCCCCGCCCCCACCTGAGTGCGTATTTTACAGTGCCTTGGCCAACTCTGTGGTGATCCTTCCAAGTCATCTTCAAAGTATGTTCAGACCCAGAGGGGAGTGGATCTTAAGACAGCTGCAGAACGTCGGAAAT